TTCGGAGCGCAGAGCGCGAACTGCTGCGCCACCGCTGGTTATTTATTCGCCGCGACAAAGCATGTTTACGAACACCACTCGCCCCTCCATACACACACACACGTCAGCACGGAAATTCATAGTCGGTGTCCCCGGGAGAGGGCCCACCTAGTCTACTGGAGTTCTCGCCTGCTTGAGCGCACAAAAAAAAAGACCGCACGCGAACCCTCGACGGGACACAAACATGTTTACTGCTGGTGGACCTCAGCCTTGCGTGCTCATCAACACCCCGGAGAACGAAGAACGTCGCCTAGTGGAGTTGACGTCATAACGGCGTGCGCGCCCCACGTGACGCAGGTCGCTTCGAGCCTCTGTTGAAGGCAGCCTCGTGCTGGTTTCGACGACGGCGCTGTGAGTTTGAAGCGAACGGATTTGCTGTCGTTATAGCGACTGCGCTTGTGTTTGTTGGTGATCACGTTCGTACCGCTGTTTGATGAGGCGTGTTGTTGTTGTTGAATGAGTAGTCTGGCGATTACGCTTATTAAAGCAAAGGTTTAAATACGAATATGATATTATTTCAGAAATTACATTTGGCTGGGATATATTTTTATATATGTGCCATATATAGATCAGCCTGTAAGAGCAGCGAATTACAGTGATTCCCGACCATGACTGAGTCCATCACCTCTCCATGGTCGGTAAAATAGGTACCCACTTGGCAGAAGGTCAATAATGTTTACCCCTATGGGATAAATTCACGACCGCCATAGGAACGTGGAATTTCCGCAACTAACTCAGGGTCTAAGTCGATGCTGGGTCTTCAAAAAACACGCGCAAACAACGTGTTCAGTTTGTTGTCTTTCCCCGCACCTCCGATTAGCACGGTTGGTTACGTACGGCTCGAAAGAAGTTCAACATACGGACGTAAAAAACCATTAGCAGTTCCTGAAGAAGTGCACTGTCGTCCTATTCGTCCTAGGCCAGCACGCGTGCAATGCAGGAGAGTTCTCGACAGAGCCACTGAGCTTCGAGGTGACATTCACAATGAGCGTGGACAACTTGGGAACATTTTTCGATTTAAAGCTTTCGTGACTGCAAGGATTCATCTTCTTTGGTTCTTTCGGTAAAGTCACGTAGAATGAGAATAAAATAATAAAATAAAATAAGACAATAAAATTCTCACGACGTTTCGGCCACAACACAGGTGGCCTTCTTCAGGTGAAAGAACAGAACTGTCGGGACGACAGAGCTTCAATTGTGTTGTGGCCGAAAACGTCGTGAGAATTTTATTGTCTTATTTTATTATTTTATTCTCATTCTACGTGACTTTACCGAAAGAACCAAAGAAGATGAACTTGGGAACACATTGTCACGCGATGTTGTTAAACGTTGCGCACGGCAATACGGTCAGGAGCTAAACGGCGATGACGAGGCGTGCTTGGCCACGACGAGAGGGCTTCAGGAGAGAGTTTCGTGTCGGTTTGGGATCCCTCATCCGTTGAAGGAGCGCAGACTACAGTGGGTTACTGCACGGTCCATTGTTTGGGTTCTACGGCCGCAATTTCACGACTGTGGCTTGTCTTTAATGTATCTCTGTAAGTCTCTGTATATCTGTGTCCCTATGCATCTCTAAGGGTCTCTGTGTATCTCTATGGGTTTACTATGTGGCCCATAGTTTGGGGGGGGGGGGGGGGTGCATGGCCACAATCGCACGGCTGTGACTCGTGACTTCATATGTTTCATTTATAAATGAGATGTCAGCGCATCGGGCCTGGTGATGTTCTGTTCTGTTGCGGTTGATGGCTCCATCACCAGCGCCTTCGAGGAGGAATGTCAAAGCGATGATGTTTGGTTCTCGAATGAGACGTCTATTCCGGACGTCGGCGTTGTTCCACTCTGCGACGTTGCCAACGCAACGCCTAATTTGTCCCCGTCACACGTGGCTGATGCAGCTACTCCCGGTGGACCTACATTCGGTGGTCACGCTGCCAGCCAGGAGTGGTGGCACGGGGCTCAGGGGACAGGAAGCAAGCCCCACGAGGATCAGCAAAGAATCGCACTAAGTTTGTTTACATTCACGAAATAGTACAGTATTGCGACAGCTTTAATAAATAATAAATTTGTCCTTGCCACGGTGGCGAGATGTTAACTACCTCGCCTGGTAAACGGGAGGTGGTGGATTCGATCCCGTACCTTGACGCTTGGTGTATTTGGAGTTTACGTGTTCCGCACATTCGCGCCTCGATTTTTCTCCGAGTCCTCCGGTTTTCCGACCCTCCACATTGAGAAACACGTGTTCAGAGTGTTTCGGCAGCTACGTATTCCCACGCGATAAGCCACTTCGTTGAGCTATCATTTGTGGCGAGGTCGCTTCTGAAAAAGAGCTTCATAGCTCAGTCGGCCCTTAACCCGGTAAATAAACAAAAATAGTTCAGTTTGTTGAGTATGTCGTGCAGCCGAATGCAACTGTTGCGCCATCCAGCAACTCGACGAACAAAGGAGTCGTTTCCCGTTCCTTCCGCTGCTCGCTTTCTATCCTGGAGAGTAGCGGGGAGGGGGGGGGCGGACAGGGGGAGATGGGGGGGGGGTCTACGTGAGAATGTTGATATTTTGCTCATTCGCGCTCGGGCCCTGCTGGCCAGGGCTGGAGTCGAACTGGTGAGATGAGGCCGTGTCCTCGTTGGCCTCGCTCTGCCTCGAGCTGCCCCAGCAGGATTCATCATCCGCAAAGGTCACTCGACCCCCCTCCCCCCCATCCGGGGCATGCGGGGTGATCGCAGAGTTCACGGCGCGCCATCGTTCGTTGACAGACTCGAATGAGCGACTCCTCAGGCAAGTGCTTACTGGGGCCCTCATAGAGTACAGGCGTAATGTCCTCTCCATATAAAAAAAGCTCGCAGAGGCATAAGCCAGCAGCGAACATTGCAGATTGCACTGTGCTGATGAACCCTAATCAGATTGAAACCGGTCGACAGTTGTGTTTGTGGCATTGCCTGCTGCCTTATCGTTGGGCGCATTTTACATTTTTGGGGGGGAATTGGTGGTCTATCAAATCGACAAACTGGGCACACATGCAAGTTCTATTGAGTTAGTGGTCTGCATACGTCTATCAAATTGAGTTGGTGGTCTGCATACGTCTATCAAATCGACAAACTGGGCACACATGCACGTTCTATTGAGTTGGTGGTCTGCAGAAGGCTGAGGAGCTTTGTACATTGTAAGCACAACATTGTGTGTGTGTGTGTGTTATTATAACTAAAGTGCCATTGTCGTTCTGGGCACTTCAGAGCGACAGCCCGGCTGCGCTTGTCGACTTCAGTTGTTGGGAGTTCAGAAACTCCGACGGCAAAACCACGTGTGACGCTGATGATTTATGGATAGTTGCTGCTGATGATTTGATGATTGTGATGAAAAAGACACGTAGACAATACATATCTTTTCAACACATCCTATCAGCCACATGGCCTTCTTAGCAGGTTATTTTGTGTTATGTATTCTACATGTTTTCGTCGAACTAGGATCCACATCTAACAGTCTCCTTGCCTATAAACATTTAGGCAGTTCACCAGCATTGGTTTCAGGCGAGCCCGACTGCTGATGAGACACTGAATGTCGAACCGGACCAGTGTTTGCTTGTTGCTGAAATTGTGCATTCTACGAAAGCTGATGGGACGATTGTTTTGGCATTTCTAATGCGTAGGGACAGATATGTGAAGGTAGTGTTATTGCCCCCTCATTTTAATTGTGTGCAGTCGCGTTAGATCGCTTGCTTCACAAAGTCGAGGGACCGCGTATTCAAATCCCAGCCCGGTTTCGCCGAACCTTCACGTGGTCGAAGATAAAAAGGACCACAATGCACTTCTTCATGAACTGCTGTTTTTTGCATAATGGTGCTGTCGTGTGTACATTTAAATCTACGGTTTTCCAGCAGCCTGCGCTGTTATTTTGCGATGATGGAACTTGCTCATCATTTACGGATTTAGCTATCCATTTCCCGATTAAGTCGTGCCAATGACTACAATCACGAGTTTGTCTATTTGTGTGCCGAAACAAGAGGCAATTACACTTAAACAAGCACCGCCTGTAAACAGCTCCCAAATTCAGCCTTCCAACGAATTACTGCGTAAAATTTTGTACCCAATGTTCCAAAATTGTCCATCTTATCGGAAATGGAATCTCATACCGCGTCGGTTCAAACGCTCGCGGATAGAGCGAGGTATGACACATCGGAATTCCGGCGTGGTGAATTAACATTCACCCACACACACACAGCCAGCATTGCCAGCACGACGCGAGAAGACATTCCGTGTTCAAGGCGGATCGCTGCGAACGAGAAATAGCTCATTCTCCATCTCAGAAGTGCTCAGCTTTCGACCAGTCTCAAACTGGCCCTCTGCTATTTATGTCTCTCGTGAAATGGTCATTCCAGTTCACGGCTAATGACGAGTCGAGGCCACGTCAGGGTGTTGAGAACCGCCAAGGCGTGCGCGTGAAACAACGTCGCGACCCGGCTAGATCGGGTTGTGATGTGTTTTTTTTATTAGTAAAGTATGCGCCGTTTCAGGTATCACTGTCATCCGAGCTACCCGGGAAGCCAGGTGGCAACTCGATGGGAGCGTTTGACTCGCAGCTAGAAGCATGCCAGTCAAACCATGGCCGGGGGCCGACTCGACCTCTTGGGAGGCACAGATGTTGGTCACCGTTCAAGGGATAATTACATCTCTCTCCAGTGTGACTTTGGATTGTAAAACACGTGTCCATTTCATCGAACAGAGCTCAGCCAGAAGGCCTCATTGATTACGCATCAAATTGCTGAGAGTCGATCGACAGGCAGGTCAATTGTGGTGGGGGAAAAGTGTGGGTACCCACACCTCTTGGGCGAAAACTCTGGCCAGTGTGGAAGAGTAGGCCAAATACCATCGAGCCATTGGCGTGCGAAATAAATTTCAGAGCTGCAGCTTGGCTTGGCCGGATTAAAATATATTTCGTGTAAGCTCTCAAAAAACAGTATGGCAAGAGACTCGTAAGCGTAGTATCGGTTTATTCGGTTTCATGTGTGCATTAGTCAACGTGCAAGTGCACGATGGATGATGTGGTCACACATTAAACATACTTCACCATAGTCAGAATATTCAGACTGGAGGAATCCAATGAGCTATGATGCTCTTTTTTAATAGATGTTCAGTCGTTGTTATGCAAGCTCCTTTGGGAATCTGTTTGCACCCAATGGCACACGTCACTTTGATAAAAGTATCAACAGCCTCAGTCTTTCGTAATGCCGCCCACAACTCTTTTAAATAAAGTATGACTTCAAACACAAATTAATTGCTTTTACAAATGACACACTTCCTTACATGTACGCATTAAAGTGTACAAAAACTCATGGGACAAATACTTTACGGCCTTTCCACGTCGCCATTTAAAATAGCCTTCCTTTTTAAGCACACGGGGGGGAAGAGAGGGGAAAAAAAAAGAGCTCCAGAAAAAAAACAGCCACGTACAACGGCAGCCGAAGTTATAAAACGCTGAAAATTTTCAGGACCCCTTTTCTGTTTACGCATGGCCACCAAACTTCCTGTGGGGCTTGACCAGGACACGTGACGCCTGCTGGCGGGCGACCTGGACGGCCCCTTTCCTCCACCAGCCCCGCCCACTCACGAAGCCACGCCCACTCCACCACTAGCACTGCCCACACAGTGAGCGGCGGCCTCCCTCCTGCTGCTCTCTCTCGCTCGCTCGCTCACACGTTGGACCTGCCCACTGCTCACAGGCCCCGCCCCGCCCCGCCTGGTCTTTGCCGGCCCTGCCCCACCAGGCAGGCAGACAGCCAGCCCCTCTGGACTGTGCCCGTAACAGACAAGTCGAGGGGCGAGGCTGTAAAGTTTGAAACGAGGACAAAACTTCCCGATATTTGTAATGCAAAGGCTGCTGCAAAATACTCAGCTTTAATGAATACTCGAAAGATCTCTCCTTGTTCCCCACGTGAATTCATATTGTGGTCGAGGCTGAACTGACCACCCGCGGTGTTTCCGTTTCACGACGCTATATGTAAACAGTGTCTTAAGGACTTTTTCTGGCACAAAAAAAAACACTAGGAGATGTAAATGCAAAAAAAAGGGAATGAAGTACAGTAATAAATTAGTTGTTTAAAAAAAAAAGTGCCCACAAGAACGAGTTGATAAGATTTGTAACGTTGGCGTGTAATAGGACTCGAAGAAAAACAGAGCTTCGAAGGCCTCCTGCCGAATACTCTCACACGGACAGCTAAGAGAACTTAATAAGCGGCAAATGTGTGATGGCTTGTGTGGCACAGAAGTTTCTGTTTGTATGGGTGTGTAGGAGCAAAACATTTCGAAATCAAGTCTGGTAACAAATTGGCAACCCCCCCCCCCCCCTAACCCTCCCCCCTAACCCTCCCCCATCTCCCACCCCACCCAAACACAGTAGAGAATGTGGTTTTGCTGTGGAGAGATTTCGGCTTCGTTGGAGCAAGAAGGGTCACGACTCTTGCGGGATCACCTCCAAAACCTTCTGCGATAGGATCGTCATGGAGCCTGCAAGAGAAAGGGAGCACTCTGCTCGTGACCACATTCATCTTGAAGCAGTGCCGCCTCAACAAGGGAGGCACGTTTCGCTCCACGTGCTGGGAGCATCTTCAGGTTCTCACCTCGGCCCGGTAAATAGCCAGTGGAAAACCTCGAGCTGTACCCCACCCACCACCCCAAGGGGCCCCCTGCCACATGCTGCACACCCCCCCTGCTGGCCATCCCCCCCAGCTAACGCAAAGACAAAGATCCCCCGCAAAGCCTTAACATACTGTTGGGGCAAGTGCTGTTAGCGTGCAGCTATGAACGCCGACACGGCACACGAGGGGCTGGGGTGGCCAGCACCACGCCCCGGGCACCTTTGTCTCCCCAGTGGCGATGATTTTACACACCGCACCAGGTACTCATTTGAGGGTGAGTCGACCTAGGGGAGGCCCAGAACCGGTTAAGATAATCGTCACCGATGTTGGCCGTGAGCGAGAATCAAACTCGGGTCGCCGAGTTCGTAGCGCAGCGCGCTAACCGCTGTACCACTGCTCCCCAGCAAACACACACACACAGTGTATGTAACCAGCATCTCTCTGCTTGTGTGTCTGTCTGTGTGTCTCTGTGTTTTGTCTCTCTCTCAAATTTAGCAATCTTTGGAAGAACGTAATGAACCATGTAGGGTGTTGACTGTTGTGTTGTTAGCCGACTCTCTGTGTTGTTTTGCATTATATTGCTAAGTTTACTAGGCTTGTTTTCTCATTCATTCTTACCTGATAATGGTGGCTTGTGTTGCTATCGAAACGTCGTATTCTATTAGTATTTAATTTATTTTCTTTCTACGTGACTTTACCGAAAGAACCAGAGAGTACTTAAACTAAACTATTTTTATTTCACCAGGTCAGTCCCACTGAGCTATATAGCTGTTTTTCAGACGCGACCTGGCCCACAAATGAAGTGGCTTATCAGGTGGAAATTTACAGCAGCCAGATACTCTTAAACGCGTGTTTCTAAATGAGGGAAAAACCGGAGGACCCAGAGAAAAATCCACGCGACCACAAGGCAAGAGACCATGCGAGCTGCAAATATACAGCAGCAGGCGTTCAGGGGCGGAATCGAAACCACGACATCCTGGATACCAGGCGAGGTAGTTAATGTCTCGTCACCGTGGCGTCCATTGGGATCACAAGCAGCAGCAGCAGCCATGCTGGGTCCCCCCCCCCCGCCCGCTACTCCTATTGCGAACAAGTTGACAGGACGCTCTCTGCAAACGAGTCTTGAGACTCGGCGAGGCTTCCATGGCTAAACAAGCGCAATCGTAGGCAAGCAAGACGGATCTCCCATGGCCCCGTGGGTGTGGCAGCTGCTGGCACCCCCCCACCCCCCCCCCCACCCACCCCCCTCCCGCCCCCCGTGACTGGTGAGGGGAGGGCACGCACTGATGAGGTTAAGCAGCGACGGCGGCTTGTTCTGCCACCGCACGCCCACAAAGTAGACGGGGATCCCGGTGAGGATGATGCCGAGGCCGATGCCGCACTCGACCGGCGTCACCACCACGGACACGACGATGAGGAAGATGCACGCCAGCACGAACGAGATCGGCAACAGGATGTTCACCTGCCATGGGGGGGGGGGGGGGGGGCACAGATAGAGCTGAGAGGACAAATCGATTGGGATGGAGGAGACCGTGAACCTACTTGCTGAACTGCCTCCTGCAGGTGCCTTGTTGAGCTGCATGCGAGGGGAGGCCTCGCCGCAGGCTGCGGCAGTGGGGAGCGACCCCAATTTAAATTCCCGCTCACGATTATATGAAGCGGTCTTGGGCCTCCCCTAGGTCGACTCGGCCTAAAATGAGTATCTGTTGTGGTGAGTACACATCACCACTCGGTAGAGGCCGGGCGTGGTGTTGGCTACCCACCCTGTGGGGCCGTGCCGGCCTTCATAGGTGCTACTCGCTAACAGAACTTGCCCCTAGAGCCTGTTAAGGCTATACGGGGGATCTTTGTCTTTTGCCACGCAGGCTGCATCTCTGCGCGAGCTACAAACCCCGCACCCAAGACACTGCACGACAGAGTAGTACCGCAATGTGGAGATTCTCTGCGATGTATCGTACGAGACAAAGTCCACGATAATCGTAATGTCTGTGTGCAAAATATCATATCTGTGATTAACATCACACGGTTATGTACGTGTTATTTCCCAAAATTATATCATGAAATAACAAGCACGATAATTAACTGTTCTAAATACACAGCCATTACCCAATTCGATGCGTTGACAAACGTTACCGGCGTCACAGACGACATCGCGGTCATACAACACCATCATGGCCAGAGAATGATTTTTTTTTCATCTGTCATGTAACAGCAGAGACATAATAATTACAGATTGGAAAGTTGCCCCGATTATATTCATTTACAGCAGGCCGAGTGAACTGCAGTTCAACAACACTTACAACGATGCATTATTAAACGTGCGAAATACAACTTGCACAGCTATCGGAAACCGATATCGAGGTGCGGAGCGATACGGTGGTGGAGTCGCTCACCTTGATGGGCCTATCTCTCTGCGGCTCCTTGTAGCGCAGCCACATCATGCCGCAGATGGCCATGGCGATGCACAGCCAGTTGAAGAAGCTGAAGAAGTTGATGACGGAGAAGATGTCATCCGAGATGGCGTACAGCAGCGTCATGAGGCACTGGGGGAAGCGGGAGTGGAGGGCGGGCGGGGGCGGGCGGGCGGGTGGGTGGGCATGAGCGACTTGGGGTTTTCCACGGCGTGCGTTTGCCCACCTGTTCTCAGGGCCGGATTAAGGTTCTCGTGAGGCTCGAAGCACTTCTGTTTCGTAGGCCTTCAGTGATAACTTTATGCAGTCGGTACTGCCCATGTTACTAAAGCCGCTGTCACTCGCTTGTTTCACGCGTACTTCGTCCAGCCGCTACACACACGTCGTTACCGATACGTTCATTATTTAGTCTGTGCACTAATTCGATGGGAGCATGCTGCGTGCCGCAGATAAGCAGATCTTATTTGAAATACTCTGCCTATCCTTGCTATATAAATATATTTATTCAAGAAGATATCTTGGTTACATGTTTTTATTGTAGGCCCTTCAGTTTCTGTAGGCCCTAGGCACAGTGCCAATTGGGTAATGTGTATTGTGCCTAACAGGCCTATTAAATAATAGGCATATGCACAGTGCCTATTAGATAATACGGCCTGTGCACAGTGCCTATTGAATAATAGGCACTATGCACAGTGCCTATTGGATAATACGGCCTGTGCACAGTGCCTATTGGATAATACGGCATATGCACAGTGCCTATTGTATAATACGGCCCTGCCTGTTCTAAACACAGTCGGATAACGCTCCCTTTTTCCACCGGCACATGCGAATCACACTGGCGCGTGCGTCGCATGTACCTATCATGGGTTTTCCACTGGCCATCTGCCGAGCTGGGTCAGAACCAAACCGCATGACGTCAGCGGCACGGCTCACGTTGCACAATGGAAAAACAATCTAGCGCCTCCCGAGTCATGCCAGGCTTGGTCTCGGCACGGTCGCGGCTTGGCTCGCTTGTGCAGTAGAACACAGGCATCGTCCCATTCGTCGTGTTTGGGTGGTTGAGTACACGAGTGAATATGAGATGCTGGTGTGTGGGTGAATGGTTGTAGGTGGGTGATTAGGTAAGTAATTTTCTGGTGGATGGTGAATGGTCTAGATTGCTGGTGGGTGAATGGGTGGTGGGTGGGTGGATGGATGAGCGAGTGAGATGCTGGAGGGCAAGTGCATGGAGCCTCCCCTAGGTCAACTCGGCCTGAAATAAGTAACTGGTTCGGAGTGTAGTAAACATCGCCACTGGGGAGAGGGAAGAGCCCGGGCGTGGTGCTGGCCACTCTCCCCCACGTGTGCTGTAACGGCCTTCATTAGGCGCCCGCTAACAGCACTTTCCCCAACAGTTCTGATAAGGTTATACAGGGGTCGGGCGGGGGGGGGTGTGAATCTTTATTTTTACGGAGTGTGGAGGGTGCTGCAGGTACCGTGAAGAGGAGGGAAGGCACCGGAGTGAAGAGGCGCCGGTGAATCATCGAGAGCAAATTGGGCAGGTGCCCTTCGCGAGCGCCCACGAAGAACAACCTGCATGGCACGGCGCAGCGAGCGGCGGACAGACACAGACAAGGCGCTTCAGATGTACAGAGTGGCCCAAACGCCAGGACACACATCGGGTTATTTTATTTATTGTAACACTGGCATTAGGGGTGGGGGTCTGTCGCACCTGGAGGAGGTGAAGAGGGACCCATTGACCGAGCCGAAGCAGGAAAGGCTGACGAACACGGGAATGATCCAGGACATCACACCCAGGTGATAGTTCCCAAAGTCCTGGGCACGCATAAAACCAATCAGCACGGCGCCATTGCAAATCACAGAAACACAGATCAGCACCGGTTGGCTACGTACGGTGCGAAAGGAGATCGACATACATACATACATATACCACTATCCCCAAACAGATGAGAAATTATGGCGATTAGTCCACTTGCTGTACCGACTTATCCTGGAGAACCAGTGTATGGCACACGCCCTTGACGCCCATAGGAAGGGCGTTTCAAAACAACATCTGTGCGGTCATCCACAAACCCTCGTTGCCTCCACAGTGCTTGATTAATGTGACTCAAGATTTAAGTACTGATTGAGGGCATCGCAATACTTTACAGTATGAATTAAACGAAGGTAGTCCTCCTACCTATCATGGCCAAATAAAATTGATTGTGTCAATAGGCGGACAGACCTTATAGCAAGAAGTTCCATGTGCAGTGGTTAGCACACTACACAGTGAACCCGGCCCACCCGAGTTTGATTCTAGGCCAAGACTAACATCAGTAGCAAGTGGTATCTGAACCAGCCCTCCGGTCCACCAACCCGGATGGATTACACGATTGTTGAAAGTCATCCATCTAGCAGTGGATTGACAAAACACCTGAACAATCTTATTTAGTATTAATTAACACAATGAACACCCCACATATGAAAAATGTCTGGCGGAGACGCGAGACTCTCAGGAGCTGCGGCTGTTGCTGCTCTGGGCGAGGTGTGCAGCAGCAGTTTTGCAGCCGGAGGCGACGCTGCGCTGAGGATAGTGCTCGAAGAATGGGAATCCAAGATGAATAAATAGAGGCGGTGTGTAGGCTGCTGCGGGCCTACGCCGAGGGCAGCAGGGGGCAGAGTTGCAGCAAAAATAAATTGCTGTACTGTACTTCTACGCTCCCCGTCTTCACGAACTCGCACCGATCGGTGAACGGTCAAATACCCCATGGCACGTACTGGGGACCGGGAGCCGCGCATCAAGCAGTGGATTGACCAAAGCACCGTCCGTACGTACACGTGTTTGTGTGTATATATGGGGGGGGGGGAGAAAGTAACAGAAACGGGCCAGCTGGTTAATCGGGCTCACCACTGCGACGGCCTGGGAGTCCAGCATGCTCTGAGGGGACAGCGTGGTGAAGTACGCCAGGTTGGTGAGCACGTAGACGATGGTGACGATGGGCAGCGAGATGATGATGGCCCGGGGAAGGTTTCTGTGTGGTGGTGGGGGGGGCACACGAGTCATCAGGGAAACCTTGCCGGGGGGGGGTGGTGACCTCGGCTCGCTACCCGTAAGCCACAATATAAACTAAACTATTTTTATTTTATCAGGGAAGGCCCACCGAGCCCTTTTTCAGAAGCGACTTGGCGCCAAAATGATGGCTCAACAAAGTGGGTTATCATCATCATCATCATCACGTGGAAATGTATAGCAGCCAAATATACCCCAAAATGCGTGACGTTGACTCTAGACGTGGAGGGGAAAAACCGGAGGACCCGGAGAAAAATCCACGCGACCACGAGGAGAGAGACATGCAAACTTCAAATAGGGTCGGCATCGAACCCACGACCTCCTGCATACCAGGCGAGGTGGTTAACATCTCGCCACCGCGGCCCATAGCCATGGGAAGAAGAACATCTCACAGCTCCAGGTGGAGGGGAGAGAGCTGCAGGCGATTGTCCAAAGTGGTGCGTTACCATGGCACTGCATCGCAGTCGGGGCTTTAAAACCTGGATCTGCAATCCAGAGGTTGCCGGTTACATTTCTGAGCACGGCGTGGCAATTGAAACAACGGTGGCACTTTCGCAAAAAACCTCGCCACTGTCCACCCGGCTCTAAAAATGGGTACAACTGGAATTAGTCTATCAGCAGGTCGCGTGTGGTGGGGTAAAGTGTGTGTACTCCCACCACTATTTTTTTATTTTACCTGGTAAGACCCACTGAGCTGTAGAGCTCTCTTTATCAGAAGCGACCAGGCCAGAAATTATACGTCCAATCGGCACGGTTGGCTACGTACGGCGCGAAAGAAGTTCAACATACATGCATGCTCCCACCTCGGTTGAAGAGTGGGCCTAAATAGCCTCGAGACCTCCCCTCTAGCGGAGGCATTTTTGCTACCAGTGGCGCAAGCGAGTACGCTTCAAGGGCAGTACCTTTCTTTACCTTACAACATGAACTCGAGGACACAATGGGAGGGAGTTCCACAGACGAGCAGAGCAAAGAGAACGCGGAAGAGAGGAAGTTACGAGTTACGCGCTTGCAAGGTGTTGGTTAAACACAGGCAACGGGCTGAACATGCTTGACCATGGCCATAGCCACGGCCTCGTCCATTAGACGATAGCAGCTGACAGTCGAGCGATTAACATTCATGAGAGCAGACAGCCTGACAGTTGAGTTCCATCTGTCGATATTTCGATCAAGCTACGGTGGTGGTGCGCTGACAAAAGTCCGATGTCAGTTGGCAAGTCAAAGAGTGTCGACGGAACTCCGTTGGTGTTGGCGGACCGTGGATAGCGCCCACTTACTTGAAGGGCTCAATCATCTCTTCGGTGACAAAATTCAAGTAATTCCTAGAGAGGAAACACACGCCAACCCCGTGGTAAGTTCGGTGATCGATGCGCCAGGCAAGCTGGCCACTCACAAAACGCAAACAACGCGATTATAATAATGCTGACGATCACGTTTAGAGTTTCATAGCGTGGCGTCTTTCGTTCATGCAGACTGCACCTCACAGTCGCTGAGGAACCACAGAAGAGCCGGGAGGTCAGCAAGACACGCAGCGAGCCTGTACCAACATTTCCTCAAGCTCTGCAGTCCCCTATATATTAAGATGTTTACAGACAATTAACGAGAGTTATAATACTCGAACAACAAAAGCTGCCATTCGCATTGAGTGGCGGTGATGTCACCACACCCCAAAGTGCATTTTGAAGCCACGTGAAGTGTCGAAGGCTGGTTTGTTGGAGGTCACAGGAGAGACTGACTATAGGTTATCCTAGATTAACCACGCATACATTCAGATGCAAAGGCAAATTAACGCCCTATATTTAACCAAAACACAGCCTATTAACATTCACCATAGTTTTTTCCCCAACAAAATATAAATAATGACACTTCCGTGTCAACTGTGTTTGTTGTCATTTTATTGAAAACTTTGAGTCGAAAGGAATTTTTAGACCTGGGGTTAAAAAAACGACTGCAAACTGTACGCGATAAGTTCTTCCAGATCCACCCCGGGGAGGCACTGAACTTACACAGTAGCTTTAGGAACATGATCGTCCATCCCATATAAAAACATCGTCAACGTTACCCACGAGTCCGTTCCCGCCATCCTATAAGTATGGCTCATCTCACTCAAGGTACAGTAATACCTTGGATTGCGAGCATAATTCGTTCCGGAAACGTGTTTGTAATCCAAAGCACTCGTGTATCAAAGCACCCGTACATCAGTTGTGATCACGTGACGCTCGGCAGTACAAAGCGTATACGTACACTACCCGTATTGCAAGACCTCGCTCGTTTATCAAATTTATATTTATTTTAAAAATCTGCTCGTCTTGCAAAACACTCGTAGACCAAGTTACTCGCAATCCAAGGTTTTACTGCAATTGCTTTCTATAGCTCACCAGCCACGATCTATCCACTGCTGGATGAAGGCGTCCCCAAGTCACCACCACGTCTCACGTTCTTGCGACACAACAACCAGCTCTAGCACCCAATCTGATTTCATCCCTCCATCTCCGTGGTGGACGTTATTGTTTCAGGTGCGTTTCCTTTCTTTGGCTGCTATTCCATCATTAATCTTGACCAATGGCCATCGCCCTTTCAGGGACGTGCACCCTGTCCCCAAGTCCATTTTGCTCAACAGTCAATAGTTTTTTTTTTATTTAAAGCTTTCGTGACTGCAGGGATTCATATGCTTGGTTCTTTCGGTAAAGTCACGTAGAAGGGAAACAATAAAATATAAATTTTGATTTAAAGCTTTCGTGACTGCAGTAATTCATATTCTTAGCTCTTTCGGTAAAGTCACGTTGAAGGGAAACAATAAAATATAAATGTTTTATATATTTTATTATTTTATTGTTTCCCTTCTACGTGACTTTACCGAAAGAACCAAGAATATATAGTTAATAGTTTGTCTCTCATTTCAGTTTGTTCTCCGATCCATGCGTTATTCTCTGTCTCTCAGCATACATTCCCAGAATGCATCGCTCTGCGTTCATGTCATTTTCAGCGTTCGTTCCGCTCGGCATTCACGACGACCATCTTTGGTGCAACATCTGTAAAACAACGTTCATGAGCCAGGCTCGTGAACACTCTCAAGCCGAGCTCACGAACCCTCCCGAGGACACAGCTGCCTTTGTGGACTCGTCCTTCAGCGGTTTACACACATTGCATTTATGGATTTATTTTGGTGATTTCGAAAACGTTTTTTGGTTTGGCCATGTTTTTGTTTATTGTAGTACGGAGTTAGACTGATGCCCTTAATCTAAGTTGTCTTGTGGTTGTTGTTGTTGTTTGACTTGCATCCCACTGGGATTTTTGCACACAGCGTTGGTGTACGGTGCTATTTCAGGAATATTTTGATGTTTTTAACCTGTATTTTCTGTTTGCACAGTCACATAGTCACTTTAAGATGTTTTCTTGTTCATGTTTTTGTTTGTTGCAGTTGCACCCGATTCAAGAGCCGAATGGCTCACAGGGCTATACCAAATAAATGTAACTATGAAACTACACATTTAAGCCACGTGTCAGCGAATCTTTTCGCAAAGAGATATGGAATTAAAAAGAACACACTATCGGTCACAATTTGTAGTAAATGACAACTAGAAGTAATGCATGCAAAGTGAAACTGTTATTCTGGGCTGCGTTATAAGCGAACAAAAGCGAAACGATTAACTGAATTGGGACGGGCAATTTGAGCTGCACTTCGCTGAACGCACGTTGACACGTGCCGGCCGGGGGGACATCCGGTTGTCCCTTTGTGATTTCAGCCCAGGGTGTGAAAGGAAGTAACTTCCCAAAGCCACAGCCACAGAGGTGGGATCACGAGAAGATAAACGCCTGTGGAATGTGGCCGATCCTGTAACTTAAGTGATGTTTTCCCCGCTCGCACTGTCACACCACTTTCACTCGATGCCGCTAGGCATGCATCAATTTAAGTGAGCGGCTCATAATATGAATCATATTCTGTTTTCAATAACAGAGATAGATAAACATCAAGGCAACCGCCTCAGTTAAATATTTCTAGACAGTAACAAACCCTGTCAACACGAGGGCAGGGTTGGTCTAAATATTTTCAAAGGTGGCCATAAATTCACGGCTACCTTAAAACAATCTTAACGCAGCAAACACATCAACATTTAAAGCATTGTCTGGGGCACGAATTCCGTGCGGTGCGGAAATACTTCTGGATGGGGCGAACCTTGCAAATGTAAGGGACGCCGAGGGGGCAAGCCCTGTGACAAGTCGATGATGAACATTCACACCGCCCGAGCTGAATGGCTTTGCGGATTCAAGTTAAGGTCCTCGCTTCGCATTGACGAGCTGTCACGTGGGGGCGCTGATGTGCCAAGCATGCAATCTGATTGGAGGGTTGTGAAACACTCGTATTGGATTGGCAGGCAGAGGAAGTGATTTGATACAGCCCGGGGTGGTGAGGGGGGGGGAGATGTAAATGAGGGGTCGTTAGGGAAGCAAAGGCGAATGGTGGAGGACGGAGGAGGTGAGGAGAAAGTTCGAAAAGGGCTGGGAGAAGGGGATGAGAGGCAGCCCCCGAATGGTGGCGGTTTTGTTGTTTATTAAGTTGTTGAGCCAGCTGGCCAAGATTGGAAAAAAAAATTAAGCCCACTTTTCACCCAGGAAAACTGCAGACGTTAAAACGAACAATAACAGGAATCACAGTTTAAGAGACAACACGACATACATACTATTACAAAAAATGTAAACGTAAAAAATTCATCACGGAAGACCGTGCGTGCGGTCCTATGCGTTGCGGGAGAATGAAACGGCTTCCCAAAACGCACACTTGTCTGGATCTCCCCTCAGAAAGGTTAGTTTGCAGAGCGAGGATCTTGTTACAACTTCCCCGTGGGTTGTGGCATTCCGACCGTGGCTGGGTGAGGCAAAATGGCCAGGAGATGGCAGTCGAGCAAACGGGTTCACGACTCATCCCACAGCCCTTGCAATGCGCGTGGGTTTCTCTCGTTTCCAATGGACCTCTGGAAAAAAATATAAACAATAAAAGCCTTGGAAACTCGGCGAGGAATTTCTAAAGAAATAAAAAATGGCATTGTTAAATTCCCAGTGGTTATACAAGCACTTGGCTCACCATCGGAAAGTTGCGAGTTAATTTCCAAGTTGCACGTCGACTCATCACACCGGGGGGGGGGGGGGGGGGGGGGTCAATAAAATGTATGCCACTTGGTGGCACAGACAGCGGTGGTTTTGTTATGGAAAGAAACGCCTCTACCATAGGAATGTGGAATTTTCAGCAGCTCTAGTCTTGCGTATGTCAGGAATATCTTCAGCAGCTAAATTGCTGGTTGTCGAGGTCTGCTGCTGGCCAAAGGGCTTCAGGTGAGAGTTCATGTTGTTTTGTTGTTCCTCCTCCGTTAAAATCAGCACAGACTACGGCGGTGTAACCGTGTGGTCCGTGGTTTTAGGTTGCATGGCCACAACCGCAATACCGTGTGGCTTGTTTTTCATCGGTAGCTCACCGCTGCCCCAGCATTTGATCGGGTATGGAGACACAACGTCGCAATAAAACAATACGATTAGGCCCGGCCGCTCGCTCAGCGGTTGATTCCCGACGGCTTAAAATGGGAACGCGCGTCTGGCAGAGTGCCGGGCGCAGCGCTAACACAACACCGGCGCACGCGTGAATGGGGGAAAACGCGCGAGCGCAGCAATAGCGGCACGGTGGCCGGCGCTCTCGTCCGCAGATTAAACGAGCGCAGCAGAGGGGCCATCACGAACCATTTCACGCATGCTTAAAGATTCGTCCGCCCGGTGACGGACGCTCGAAACACAATGCAGCCGCCGCCGCCGTGAATACAAAGGGAGCACTGTCGCGAAACGGAGCGAGTGGGAGACGCTGCCAACCACGCGATGACGCATCATGGGAACGCGTGGCGGCGGATTCCGTGTGCCCGCTGCCGTGTGCCCGCTGCCGTGTGCCCGCTGCCGTGTGCCCGCTGGACACGTGCCGCGCAAGAGGTGTTTGCGACTGCGTGTAACACAAGTACACGATGCACACTGCGCGTCAGCGGTGTTGCCGGGGTATGGCGATATATACGTGTCGTACAAAACAAGGTCCGTGATATGCGTCATCCGTTTGGCAAAAGAGTGTTGTCTCGTGATTATCGGTGATAATTTTTAAAAAAAAAATCTAATTTAATTTCCCAATAAAATATTTATGGAATGCCATAAGCGCAATAATTAACCTTTTAATTAACTAGTCATTGACGATTAAATTAGTATTTTGCAAAATGGTTTTGGGAGCAATTTAAGGCATGAGTATTAACATGATATCATCATGTTCATCGTGGATTTATTTATTTTTCTACCGTGCATCTTACAACACAAGTGTTTAAAAGCATTGTAGATTGTAAAGTCGCAATGATTAGAAGGCTCGTGGCAGGCTTTTGCCGAGCAAACTGCATTTGAAGACCTTTTAGGGTGATCTCTATCGGTACTGGAAGTACAGCAAAGCGGACAAATGTACAATTGGAACGTGAAATGCAATGATCAAACTGACACCGCGATAATCATCATCATCATCATCGTCGTCGTGAAAATTACTCCTCTGAGCCGGAATAAGTGGAACGTGTCAGGATCCCGCCCAGAGGTGCACTTGACAACAGATTTGAGATTAGTTTTTCCCCCCCCAACCCCATCCGTGTTTATCCAACCAGTCGAGTATTCGAATTGATGATCCGTCGAGTATTCGATTGCCCAAATAATTGGATATCCGAGCGCTTCCTTTGTTCATCCATGGGCAGATTATCCGGATCGCAGGTCAAACGTGCTCATTCGTGCTGCTCAGGTGCATGCTGGTTCTCAATCCATTAGCTGCTCCTCGCTTGTCAAAGGTCGTGGACCACAAACGCCGTTGGCAGGTAAACCGATAACCAAAAAAACAACAGATAAGACATTCTCCATCCTCATCATATTCTACGTACATTAAGCATGACTGTTGTCTTAGCCTAATGTACACTTGTTTTGCATTACGCGAATCTTTGTTTTATCTCGGTCCCACGTCCTCCTCCCCATTACCCCCTAGCCGACAGTGCAATGAATGCCCGCCAAGGAGATGGAGCGATGAAATCAGCTCTTGTATGCAGTAGGCGCTCGGCGGAATTGTGGTAGATAGCTACTGCTTGGGGAGGCTCTCACCCATCAGTGGATTGATCATGGCTACTGGTGATGGTGATGATGGATGATAGATGGATGGTGACTGTGGGTCTCACCATCCTCCGTAAGCGAAGAGGCCGCTGTAGAGAGCCAGCACGATGCTGCCCACGTCCGTTTTTGTTCCGTCAAACACCTTATCCGACTCCAGGTAGGGGACGTCACCTGCAGGACACAAATATAGGGGCGTGGGAAGAGACAGCGGCGGCACGGGTAAGTTAGCGAGCAGAGCTCCTCCGTGGGGCGCGGCGGAGGAGGATTGAGTGCCGTGTAGGCCTGAGCAACTCTACTGCACAGCAGCACCCGCAGCTGGGGTCAGCTATTCAGCCTACACCAACCCGCATTGACTGGCGTGGTGAAGTATGGTAAAACATTCCCCGTGACTGAGATTACATGGCGAGGGCTTTCATCCAGCCATGGCTTGACAAAGGGCTGTAAATAATAATAATAAGAATAACTATTATAGTGTAGAGCAACAAAAGAAGAGATGTTAAAGTGTCTCATGCTCAAGCGAGCACGAGGCAGTGCTCATCTCCACCGCTGGACCAGAGCCACCGGCGGAAACTCCACATTATGATGGTTGGAACCAGTCTGTGTGTGACCACAACAATGCTCACTGCACAGTGTACACAAAATTTCAACAACACTTGTGTATCCATTTTTCGTCCCCAGTTGCAAACTGGCACCCTCTTGGACCTGGCTAGGCCTCTCCAGTGGCTGACCGTACAGGAAAGAGCGCAAAAACATGTTTCCTTTTGTTGAAAGGCAGCGCGCAAGACTACGACCGTGGGTCATGTGGTCAAGCTCGGGACGCACAGCGGGGCGCGCTTCTGGGAAAAATGTCACGCGATCTCAAGTCGCCTGACCCCAAGGCTCAATGACTAGGCAAACCCCCCTGCCCCCCCCCCCCCCCCCCCCATAGGTCAGCGAGACTACAAAAAAGAACATCCTCACATGACCTAAAGGGCCTGTGCGTGTACAGTATACGTAACACGGCTCGTCATTGGCCGTCAACTGATGTATGTACGTTGAACTTCTTTCGCACCTTATGTAGTCAGCCGTGCTAATCGGAGGTGCAGGCGAAGGACAACAAACTAATCACAAAGGTTCTAAAAGAAGATCGTTTTCAATTTAGATTTAAAAGTGCATAGCTCCAATGGCTTTCCTAATATCGAAACGAAGAGCGTTCCAGACGGCCACAGAAGCACAACCGTAAGTGAGCAATGCAGTAACCGTCTTAGTTCGATGGTTAAGGCATCCTCGTTATCCCTGGTGAGGCTACAAGCCACCTCGACTTCCAGAGGGGGTGGTGCCTCAACTCAGGGGTGGTGCATTCGCTACCTGTTGCAGGGGTTGCGGTTTGAATCTGGCAGCCGCCTCTGTTATCTCTGCGGCGCTGTGGGACTACTAGCCATTAAAAGCCGTCCGCTCAAGACTGGACGCTAAAGATCCCCCGGAATCATTCGCAAGAGTTGTCTTGGGTGCACATTTTAAACAATTTTGACTCCTTGCCCGCAAAGTACTCTCTTTGGGATTATGCGGTACACACAGAGCAGCGATCATCGCCCTTTGCTGGCCACGATAATGCCCCAGCATGCGACTGCCGGAAATGAACGAGACCTCCCCTTGCCACTCTGAGTTCTCCCCCGATGCAGCAACAACAACAACATAGCGAGAGAGCGCGCACGGTTCTAGCGTCGCAGCACGGCCCCGTCGCAAGCGAAGGGGCCGTGTGGACGCTCGGCTCGGCGCGAGCGGTCACCGTCGGCGCGACGAGCCTCGCGCAACGTCAAGTGTGCGCCGACCCCGCTTTGACACTGGGGCCCTCCCGTTGATGTTTATAGCGCCGCCGATATTGACAATGGAAGGTTCACGCGCGTTTGCGCGCACAATGCGACGAGGTTTTATCGCGCCGCCGTTATCTCAATCCAACACAATGACCTTCCTCCTCCTCCCCCCCCCACCGCGCAGCGGCGGAAGAAATTTCGATTAAAAAATAAATCCAAGGAAAGGTGAAACAGGGGGCAAAACATTCCGAGCGGCGATTTCACAACTGGGGACCCCTACGGGGCTCGAGGCGGCATTGTGGGGGGGGGGGGGGGGTGGCGCAGGACGTGGTTACATAAGAAAGAGGAGCAGCGGGGGGGACACAAACACTTGGCGAGTTTGTTTGAGGGTCCCCTCGCTTCTTCCTCTGGGTGCACATCAAACGCGCCGTCGTTGCATAACGCAGGCATCAACGACGCCAGGAAGGGAGTTCACGCCGAGGGGCTGCGGCTGCCACCCCCCCCCCCCGCCCCCCCCGCCCCCCCGCAGCCTTCACAGATCCTCACTGACCGGCGTGGCGACAGACTTAGAACTCTTTAAAACTTGCTGGACTAAGAAAAATGTGGCACCCACACCGATTCAGACATTTCACTTATGTACCTGGTCACAGGAGAGGAGGAGTCGCGAATGGATTTAATCCCCATTCATCATCCCCACTACAAGCCTACAGGGCACTGCTGGAGCAGGTTGAGGAGGCCTCGGCACTGCAGCATCGCTGCAGTGCCGTACCTCGTGCGCCTCCGATGGCATCCCTCCAATTGTGGCGCGGGAGAGACTTAGGACGGCGAATGCGAATGACTTCGGTTTCAGCGTTAATGTGGGTGGAGCGATGGCTACGAACGCCGATTTCCCCCGAGTTTGACTCCCGGCCATGGGTAACAACAGTGATGAGCGATATTCAAACCGGTTCCTGGGCTCCCACCTTCACCAAAGTGACTCGCCTTGTGTGGTGGAAGTAGCGTTTGTTAATCAATTATCGACAGAATCGATTAGCCCAACGTCGTCAAAATCGATAGCAGAATCCAGTTCAATCCAAGTGACGATCAAACCGATCGGCACGTGATAACGTTCCAACGTGACTGCTCAAGTGACAACCGATTACGTACAAAATGTATACGTTATTATATACTGAATATAAAAACACACAGATCACGTGGGGACCTGTGGTGGGATACAGTGTGGATACTCCCACCACTTCCAAAACATTTGTCCAGCTTGGAAGAGTAGGACAAAATACCCTCGACAGGGGCTCTGTAGATCTTCCCCAAGTATTTACATTATGAGACCTCCTTTGCCAGTAACAAGATATAGTAATAGGTTTTACCCTTTTAACTGGCACAAAAACTGACACCTTTATTCAAGGCATCATGTTTGCAATAACCACAACACAAGCAGTCAAAATGCAAACAAAAGAGACAACTCTGATAATAATATGCACTGTCCTTGAATTTGATTGACGCCTTTTGGCGTCGTCTGGTCCAACACCAGTGGAGACTAGGCTCTAAGAAAAGCCGTCTCTCGGGTGTGGACCAATCAATTTCAAGGACAGTGCATATTATTATCAGAGTTGTCTCTTTTGTTTGCATTTTGACTGCTTGTGTTGTGGTTATTGCAAACATGATGCCTTGAATAAAGGTGTCAGTTTTTGTGCCAGTTAAAAGGGTAAAACCTATTACTACTTCCCCAAGTAGTTGTTGTTGTTTGACTTGCATCCCACTGGGATTTTTGCACACAGCGTTGGTGTACGGTGCTATTTCATGAAATATTTATTTTGCTGTTTTTTCCTGGATTTTCTGTTTGCACAGTCACATCGTCACTTTAAGATGTTTTCTTGTTCATGTTTTTGTTTTTTGTTGCGGTTGCACCCGATTCAAGAGCCGAATGGCTCACAGGGCTATACCAAATAAATTAAACTGAAACTGAGAAGGCCCTTCTGCCAGCATTGGCGTGAGAAGGCAACTTCAGGGATGCACCTTTGCCCGTTATGCATTTACTGTACACACAAGTCCAAAAATGGCTGAACATTCCTCAATATTCAGCCATAGGTCCATATCACATGCTCCGTGTCCTAATAGCGCAGATTATAAAGGGATCAGCAGATGGAATGTTAATCCTCCACCAGAGTTCGCGATTCCCTCGTGAAAATAACCGCAGGTTCACCGAAGTGGCTTTTGTAATCCCGCACCCGACTCTGCCCGTACAAGCCTGAGGCGGGCCCCGGTGGTGGCTTCAAATTGTGCCACTTTAAACGAGAGGCGGCACCAGGGCGCTAATGCCGACGTGTGTCGACGTATCGACGCTCGTAAAGCAGCCAAGACATCCAAGCGCCACAGTCCAGAGTAGCGCTCTCCTCCGGCGGCCACAATTTGAAAGCGCGTTTCCGCCGAGGCCTTTGCAGCGTTCACAGGTAGAGGAGCGTCCGCTGCGGGGTGGGGGGAGCTGCGCTTTGAACCCCGGCAACCCGAGTTCGATTCCCGGTCACGGCAAAACGTTCGTGGCCGGCGATATCCGAAAACCGGTCCCCGGGCACTACCACCTTCATCCAACCCACACCGCCCAGCGTGGTGAAGTATGGTCGGACAGACTCCATGACTGGTAACAGTGCAGGGAGGTCTCCATCCATCAGCGGAATGATAAAGGGGTGAAAGTCATCGATTGCAAACACGAAACACGGGCAAGAAACAAAGTACCAACAACACAGCGAATGAGACAGAGAGCAGAGCTGTACGGAATGTAGGCAAAATTACAATAAGTTAAAACTTTTATTTCATTCAGACAAAAACAATTACATGTTCAAAAACATGATGAAATCGAAGGTAACGGCGCAGCCCTGCAATTGCCTGCTCACGCCGCTGCTGGTGGAAGGGCCGTATGCGGGGAGGGTGCTCCAGAGAGCTACTCTGGAGAGTATTTGCCTTACTCTCCTCCACGCTGGCCAGACGTAGACGCATTTGACCCCACCGCGCGCGAGATCCACCGACCGTTCACACTTCGCCCTCGGAATATATTTCCATGACAAGTGTTCAACGTCTCTAAAATAAATAGGCGATGCATTTGTAAAGCAGGGTCAGTCAAACAAAAGATTACTAATGCACAAACAAAGAATCGTATGTGCTTTTGGATAACGTTGCGGACGACCGGACACGCGTTGTTTCCCCCCTCTCCCCCCTCTCGCACCCCAAACCCCCAGGGGAGCTCTCCTCCTATGGCGCCACAAGTCGCCACAAGTCGCCACCCTCGCCACCCTCGCACGTGACCAGGGACTGGCGCGTGCTGGCGGTCCCGGCTGGGCCGGGAGGGTACCCCCGTGCGAGATTTCACCCTCGGCCGTAACTCGG